ACTATAGAAAACAGAATGAAGGTTCCTCAAAAAATTGAAAACAAAACTACCACATGATCCAGCAAGTTCATTATCCAAAAGAATTAAAAACAGGATCTCAAAGAGATATTTGCAAACCCACATTCATTACAGCATTATTCACAATGGCCAAGATGTGGAAGCAGCTAAATACTCATTATTGGATGAATGGATAAATGTTATACACACACACATATATGTATATATATAATGGAATATTATATGGTCTTAAAAAGAAGGTAATCCTCCAGAAGGGAGGTCAGTGGGGGGGATGGGTGAAATAGGTGATGGGAATTAAAGAGTGCACTTATGATGAGCACAGGGTGATATATGGAAGTGCTGAATCACTGTATTATACACCTGAAACTAATATTACACTATGTTAACTAACTAGAATTTAAATAAAAACTAAAAAAATGCCAGTATTTACAACATAAAAAAAAAAAAGAAGGTAATCCTGACAAATACAACAACATGGATGAACCTTGAGGACATAATGTTAAGTGAAATAAGCCAATTACAAAAGACAAATACTGCCTGATTCCACTTATAAGAGGTCTCTAAAATAATCAAATTCATAGAAACAGAAAGTAGAATGATTGCCAGGGCTGGAGAGACAGGGAAATGGGGAGTTGTTTCTCAATGGGTATGGAGTTTCAGTCATTTGAGATGAAAAAGTTTTATTAGAGATTTGTTGTACAACAAGGCGCATAGAGTTAAAAATACTTGTATTATACACTTACAAATTAAGAGGGTAAATTTGTTATGTATTTTTTGCCACAATAAAAAAAAAGGAAATGAGGCAATAATGCAAAGAGCCAACACCCTTCTATATAATATGGTACACTGCCACATGATTCTTCAAGGAATAATAGAAGCTAAATGAATAAACTATAATAGCATCCTTCTAATTACTTACAGAAAGGAGCAGGTTTAATTTAATTCAACTGTCTTGAATCTGAGACAGAGAGCTATCCTCATGTACAAACAAAAAATGAAATTTTTCAGATAAATTATATTACATATTTATCTATTTTTAAACATTTTATCAGATATTTGCACTTGAAGAATCCTCTTGGTATCCAGATAAAGCTTTCTAACTACTAGAATAAACTGAGTCCAATACAGGGAAAACCATCAGCATCCAAAATGTCCTTGGTATTAGCCAACAGGACAATAACCAAATGATCTTCCCATGTTTTCATTGTTGGAAACCTTAAGAATGCATCTAGAGTAACTCCATACCTGCCAGAATGTCACTTAATCAATTGAGGATTGAAACCCACTTAAAATTCTATGCTCGGGGCACCTGGGTGGCTCAGTCGTTAAGCGTCTGCCTTCGGCTCAGGTCATGATCCCAGGGTCCTGGGATCGAGCCCCACATTCGGGCTCCCTGCTCAGCAGGAAGCCTGCTTCTCCCTCTCCCACTCCCCCTGCTTGTGTTCCCTCTCTCACTCTGTCTCTCTCCGTCAAATAAACAAAATCTTTTTTAAAAATTTAAAAAAACAAAATAAAATTCTATACTCAAGATTTATTTTCAGTTTGTAAGGATTAAAATGATATGCCCCCAACTTGATAAGAAGACATAGTTGTGTTATATATCTACAATAATTAAGTGTCCAAGCACCCTACTTCACACACACACACAATCCCAACTGCACCTATTTTCATATGCTTAGAAGTGAAGTATAATGCATAAAATTGCAATGATCAGGCATACAAAAAGTTTACAAAAAAGTCTAAATCCCAGTTTATATTTTTATTAATGTTTACAGATAATGAAAACACAAATTCTTTCAGATTCTGGACCCATGAGCCTAGGCTAGTTTACAAGGCACCTTACTAACCATACAAAACCCAACCATCATTGAACCCCAAAGGCCTGTATATAGATTGATGTGGAAGACAATAAAGGAGTGGTTAAGAGCAATGTGAGAGGGGAAGATGAGCATCAGCGGGGCTGTGAGATAATAAGAACAGAGTAAGAAACACTAACCCAAAGTAAACTACAACTAAGTCTTGTAGGTAATTACTTGTAAGTAATTAAATTTAGGTACTAACTTTCAGGACCTCTCTATCCCCTTCTAGCTTACTATACCGTCAAAAGGCATAAGCCAAGTACATCAAATCTTGTTCTAAGAGGTGTTTTGTATCATGATGGTTGGCCTTACTTTGCTCTTTAACCTCCAGTATATTCTCCAAAAACAAAAACAACCTCAAATACTGATGCAGCCAAATGTTTAAAGAACCAAAATGTAAAAGTGACCAAACTAGCTCAGAACCCTTTATCATCTTCCCATTCCTGCAAGGTTAAGCCTTAGCCATCCCACCAAGAGTCTCTGGGAACTTTTCATCAAGGCTTGTGTCCCTTTTCTGTACTTTGCATTTATTTACTCTATTCTGATATGGACAAATCCACTAACCTGTGTTTTTGGACTGCCAGGCCTTTCTAGGCTGACACCAAGGTTTAGATTCTCAGCCTGGCTCTCCAAGCTGGCACTGATCTTCAGTTCTGCTTTTCAGATCTTTCTTGGCTCCATGCTACCCTCCCCATTTCTAGCCAGGCTTCTGGAACCTCTGCCTGAATCCTACTTCCCAGTTCCCTAGTTGTCTAAGGAAAATAAGGTGCTTAGGTGATAATATGCTGATGTATCATTTTGTGAGAGTATTAAAACAAACTCCAATGTAGCAGGGACTTGGACTGCCAAATTAATATTCCTTTTGGGTGAACAGTGGCTTAGAGCAGGGTCACCTGCAGTGCACAGTTCCAGGAGTACCATTCACCTTGTTGTTTCTGAAATGTAGGTTTCAGGGGCTGGCACTGCCATAGACACAATATAAATGGTGTACATGATACCCTGCTTTCAAGGGAAGCCACACTTAATTGAATACCAAGTCATTATGAAATCTTCAAAGTTTTTGTTTTTTAACTTTTAAAACTAATTATTACATAATTCCTGGTAAGTATGCATAGTAAAATGAAGTAATATCGGAGAATTGCTCTGTCACTATCTATCTTAAAAAAACAAACAATAGTTTTAAAACACAGCCAAACAAAAGTAACGAGCAGAAACTTTAGGAAAGGGACATGACTTCAAGCCAGAATGTAGTAGCCAAAAAAGGAACTGAAGATTTTTAGTAAAGCTTGGGGAGAGTTCTAGTCCTGCCCCCAGTGGCAAAAGCAGTACTGGTGAGTAGACAAAATCCTGACAATTCTTTTCTTTTTTTTTTTTTTTTTTAGAGAGAGAGTGCCCGTGAGCAGGGCAGTGTGGAAGAGGGGCAGAGGAAGAGGGAGAGAGAATCCCAAGCAAGCTCCATGCTCAGCACGAGCCAAACCCAGAGCTCAGTCCCACAACCCTGAGATCATGACCCCAGCCAAAATCAAGAGTCGGACACTTAACCGACTGAACCACCCAGGTGCCCCAAAATCCCGAGAATTTTACTGGGGGAAAAGGAAATGAGTCTGGAGAGAACAGAGGCTGGTGAAGAACTGAACAGTGAGCTGGTCTCTCTCTCTCTCCGCTCTATGCTGAAATGGGAGATCAAACAAATTCAGGGGGTATTCTCCCCTCTGCCATGTGAAAGGAAAGGAAAAAGACTTATATACTGCTTTTTTAAAAAAATATTTGAAGGCAAGATCCAACTAAACAAAAACTGACTCAAAATAAAGAACTCAAGAAATATTAAAACAATATTTCCTAAAGAGCCCTCAAATGAACAAATGACATATCAAAACTTCCATAACCCCTCACTTCACATCAGTTTCTTTTTCCTCTGCTAAACTCAAATAAGAGTATAAATTTCTTACTATAAAGCAGCACACGTAATTGTATGTGTCCATTAATCCACACACCCACAGACACTGTATGTGTCCATGTGGGCACAGACATGACTGGTGTGATGGTCATCTAACAGTTCATTTCTGAGTAACAGGATTAGATGGCTTTAAAAAAACTTTTTTCCTTTATGCTTTGCAGCACCGTTTGGATCATTTGTAATACACGTACACCATTTTTATTTAAAAAGGATATACTGAGTGAGAAGGCCTACTGAAGGTTTTACACATGCTCAAGACAACCTGCAAACTTTCAGAGAGAAAGGTCTGCCAATCACCTCACTTAAGTCTCTATAAAATCCTTCCATGCTACTGCTAAGGGAAGTGGGGCACAGAAACACTATAGTCCCACTGTTTACCAACTTTTAAAGTGGTCATCAAAATATTCACAACAGAGGTCTTTCCTTAACCATGATGTGGTCTTTGTGGTCTTGGAGTGGCCACAGTTCATTAAAACTACTTCCACTTACACAACGCTATATTTGGATTTCAATACAATACTTCCAGGCATTAAAATGTCATTTCATGAATAGTGTATCTTCTATTCTACCTTTAATAAGTAACTACTCCTAAATCCCCTCAGTAAAAGAATTATGTCCAAAAAAAGGGAAAAAGAGGGGCACCTGGGTGGCTCAGTTGTTAAGCATCTGCCTTCGGCTCAGGTCATGATCCCGGGGTCCTGGGATGGAGCCCCGCATCGGGCTCCCTGCTCAATGGGAAGCCTGCTTCTCCCTCTCCCACTCCTCCTGTTTGTGTTCCCTCTCTCGCTATGTCTCTCTCTGTCAAATAAATAAAATCTTAAAAAAGGGGGGGAGGGGAAGAGTTCATCTAACTAAAATGCATATCTGCGAGTTAAAACCTAATAAATTTTATGTATGAATTATATGAATAATATATTAAAATAAGAAACATAAAGGGCTCCTGGGTGGCTCAGTCAGTTGAGCCTCCAACTCTTGGTTTTGGCTCAGGTCGTGATCTCAGGGTCATGGGATCAAGCCCAGCACTGAGCTCCGCGCTAGCGTGGAGTCTGGTTGGGATTCTCTCTCTCCCTGTGCCTCTGCCCCTCCCCCTGCTTATGCGTGCTCGCTCTCTCTCTCTCTCTCAAATAAAATCTTTAAAAAATAATAAAATAAAATAAGAAACATACCAGCAGGGGTGCTTCCATTGTCTTAATAAATCGATGAATATTCAGTGTAGTCAGTGGTGGTTCCATCAGTGTTCTTCTACATTGGTCAGTCAAATCCAAGACTTGTTTACAATGAAAAAAGTAGAGATGTGCATTTTCGATATCCTCAGTGCTACAAATTAAAAATTAGGGACAGATTCACTTGAAGAAGTTCAATGTGTTATCTTTCTACCATCCAGAAAGACATAGTTCCAAATATCTTTAAGTCTCATACTTTTGAATTACTGTTGTAGTAAAATAAAACAGTGAAACAAAATGGACCTAAGCAAAAAAAGAAGACACAAATAGTTTTAGAGTTGTATAAGCAATTTTTTCCCTAAACTTTTTGATATGGTAGCTTCTAAATTAGGTTATGGACAGGTCCACACAATTTTTTTTTTTAAATAAAAGGCTGTTACCTTGAGGACAAAGATTATCTTCGAATGTAGTTGCTTTTCTAGAGCTATGCTAAATAAAGCCTTGTAACACAAATTTTCTAGGTTTAATTTAAACTCAAATCTGTTTTGAATAAACTTCAGCCAAAACATGCCTTAAGATAGAAACCATGTGACAGTTTGTGGGAGTTTGTGAGTTTGTATCTGAAATATTACAAAACTCAGCAAATATGGCTTATAATTTGAGTCTGGCATCCCTTCAATATGAGAATTCAAAGATAAACTTATAGTGGGTAAGTAAGGTTTGCCAAAATTAAAATAGCATTTTAAAAATCTCCATATGGCATTAGCAGGGTTTGGCAAAATACTGCAAATTTTTATTTTTAAAATGTTATTTTAATTCTGGATACACACTTAAACTGAGATCTGAGGTTCACTGATTTCAAATTTAATTATAAACTAATTTCTAATAAGATTTAATGATTAAAGAAATGATCAGTCAAAGATTACTTAAAGTCTACTCTGTGTTAGGCCCTGTACCAAATACAAAAGACTAAGATGAATAAGATGACTCAAATCTTTGAGGGGCTTAGATTAAAGGAGATACATTTAGTTTTTTTAATGTAGTTTGTAAGTGCTATAATATGCAAAGTACTATGAGAAAAAAAGAAATATTTCATTCTGCCTCAAGTCATAAAGGAGAAAGAAGGAAAGGGAAAAGAAGATCAGAGATTAAAAACAGTAAAGGAGAGAAGGACTTCCCGAAGAAGATAAGACAAATGGGTACTTCCGACAAAGGAACTATAGAGCCAAGACCCAATTAAAGTACTTAACTTTTCAACTCTTAAACTCAAAGTATGTATCTTTTGAACTATCTAGGTTCTCATATAGTCATATATATTAAAAGGAAATAGTCACATATATTAAAAGTAAAGTATTGAAAGCAGGAGGACCCAGTTGAGGTTGGACATCATATCATAACCTCTGAAATAATAAAGTAATTTTGGAAATTTAACCAGAGATCATTGGTTGTAGGTAACAGAAACCAAAAAGGTGGGGAGGGGGCCTTACTGGAAGTGTAGAACTACATATCACAGAATACAAGGAAAATTCAAGTAATTAGATCAAAGAATAAATGTATAGATCTGAACAGCAAGAGTTCAAGGGACTTTCATTTTGCCATTAATACTTTTCAGCTCCCAACTCTCTTTATAAAGATAACTCTCTCTGCTTTACTTCTACATGGCCAAAATATTCCTATGATCAAGAGAGCCAAAACACTGTATAATCCCACTCCTCCATACCCAATCCCAAGTTCCTGAGAGAGGGCATCTCATTTGCTCAGGTAAGCCAGTGGGCTGGTTGACCCCAGATCAGGTGGCCACCTCTGATCTGACTGACGGTAATATGTATAGGGTGAGGGGGTAACATCCTTGGCCTATACACAGATTCTTTAAGAGGGGAGTATGGGGAGGTCACAGAAAGCACTGGTGTCCCCATGGCACACCACCTCTTCTACTACCTATCCTATACACCCTCCTTAACCAACATATAATTTCAAACAAATTCAGGCCCAACATGATGTAATGATTAATATACTAGACTTTATCCAGTGTCACAGCTCCAGCAACTGGAATAGTGCCTAGCACATAGAGGGCATTCAAGAAATACTTGTCAAATGAAAGAAAAAATGCATTCACGTCTCCTCCATTAGAAGACAACCCAAAGTCCTAGCCAACTACTTCATCCAGAAGTCATGCCATAGGATTAGAGTACTCTGAATGCGCAGTCCCTCCCTGTCATATCAGGTCTAGGTATGACTCCTTACCATCTTGCTATCCATGAATAAATGAGTACTGAAACATACCCAATGAATGTATCAAATACTCAAAAGTATACCAAAAAAAAGAGTAACTGGACATTTTAAAATTCTCGTTTTAAAAATAGGGGAAAGCAAAAACCCTTCCAGAACATTACCATGTTTAGCCATAGATCAGAATATGCTATGTATATAGTATAGCTTGCTGAACAGATTTTGTACAATGATAGGACCTACGTCTTGCTAATAAATAAATACTCTTCTGTGTTTTAAGCACGTCACCTTTATTTGCAACTATTCATCACCTGAAAAATAAGTACATGAAAAAAAGTACAAACAATTGACCGTCGGCAAAACTGCGGGGCTACCATAGAATTGCCATAAGATGAGAATAATCAGGCTTCCCCCATTCTGGGATGGGAAACTGGCAGTCTACGTTGGGAGTAGCAAAGCAGCTGGCTAAACCACTGCTTATCATATATCTTGAGACTCGGTGACTTATAGCAAAGCTTTGCGGTACTGTCAGCAGAAGTCCCAAATTGTTAAAAATATTAATTTTTATACAAACAGTAATCATACATCAAAGTTTTCTTTAATTCATTAATGAGAGAATCAGCAGAATGACAGTTCAATCAGAAGAGATGAATGAGAAAAGGAATGCTCAACGGGGAGCCTGCTTCTCTCTCTCCCTCTGCCTGTCCCCCTGCTTGTGCTCACTCTGTCTCTCTCCTTCTGATAAATGAATAAATAAAACCTTTAAAAAAACAAACAAGCTCTTGCATGGTATAAAAAAGTCACACATCACCATTTTGCCTTGCTTTGTATTAATTTTCCTGAAGAGCATTTTGAGGCAAAGTCTTTAAAATATACACTGGTTATTCCCTGTGTTCTATAAATACCAAAGGAAAGAAAAACTTCAACCCCAGGTTGCCCAGGCAAAAAGTCAAAAGAAGGCCTCTACCTGAAATTATAAGCTAGAAACTAGACAAGAAAAATAAACATTTAAAACATTCTGCTCAAAAACCGTACTTAAGTACATTTAAGACTAGCCTAACAAAGTAACTTAGAGAACTCTCAGGAAGAACTTCTGGAGCTTAGTTATGAAAGCTATTTTATCACCTATCTGATCACTGTGGGAGATCTATTCCTACAATACACTTGGCCACTCATGGGATCACATATTGTGCTTATCCATATTGTCTTTATTCACCTTAGCCTAACATCATCTCTGCATATTTAAATTCATTTTCAGACTGTAGAATGGCAGACAATAATAATGAAGGGGATTTCCAGTTTCATTTATATATTCCCATCTGCTTACAATTCCTCTCGGGTGAGTCCATGATGTGAGAGTCTGATGGAGATGTTGAATAAGTAATGTGAAAGAAGCAAACTTAAAATTGTTGACATATGCCTCTTGTACATACCCAATACTTTCCAAAAGGGCAGTTTCCGTGGTTAGGACAAACTGGTACGTAGTCCCATACACAAAAGCAGCTTCCATGACTGCTCTGTGCTCTGAAGAGGAGACAAGACAGTTGGGAGACACAAGAAGTTAGTTTGTGTGACTCTCTTCTGAATATTGCCCTATACTGTTTTAGGCTCTGTTATAAAGAAAAATTCCTGGTAGGGATCCCAGTTGGGAAAATGCAGGCAGTTAAAGAAATTACGAAAAGTCTTTTCTATTCAAGGAAAGAGAAGAGTTAACAGGAAATAGAAATGAGTTATACTTGAGAATATAACATATGACAAATCTGTGGCAGTTTCTTCCTTGTAGTAGGGGAGAGTCTCTACAGAGACTATGCATCCACCATCCAATTTTTATGTTATATTTTATCTATGTATATGCCTGTGTATTGTTTCTGGCTTGGTTTTCTTTTAATCAAACTTATTCTTATACATAGTTTAAAAAGAAACAATTCTACAAAACATTAAGAAAAACAACAATTTCTCCCCCCTCGCCCACCTCCACCCCATTTCCAATTCCCAAGGGACAGCTGCTTTCAATTCTTTTACTGTTTCTTTTGGTATTTACCTCCAAGTCTTCAAATGATATTCTTACACTCTTATTTCCTGATTTTTTAAAGTGTTATTAATATTATCTATTGACTTCCCACTATGGCAGATGACAACTTAGCTCTTTCCCAAAACTTCACTCCACAAACATGCACACTTCTATCCCGTCAATGATCCCAATATAGTTCTAATTTTTATTAGCTCAATTATCTGTATTTACATTGTCATAACTCAGTATATACTATTTACAAGTGAGCCATAGAATGCAAAATGAACATTTCTCCTTTTTTGAGCAACTTTTTCACCAGTTATAACTTTTTAATTTGTTTAAATTTATTTCTAATTTATTTCTAAATTCTTCCACTACTGGCTAATGTTCTCAATACTTCAAATAGATCAGCACACTAGCAGTTCCCTCTTCTTGGAGACATTTCTGCAGAGCCTACTGATTTGCTGCATTACGGACTCCTGCGAATGGGCCTGCTGCACAGCTTCTATCTTGGGAACTCACTACTCCATCATCATCCTGGAAATTCTCTTACTCTTTCTCCTGTATTGGGTCCTTTGGCCTGTTATCCACATCCTCTTGACTGATTTGCTCCCTTGCTCCCATTCTCTAGCACCTTCTTGTGAGAGGATATATGAAATACACACATTTTGTGACCTTACGCTTCTGAAAGTGTCTTTATTCTATACTATAACTAATTGTAGTTGCCTGCATATTGAATTCTACGTTCATTTCCCCTGAGAATTCTGAAAGCGTTGCTCCATTTTCTTCAGTTTCTAGGGCTGCAACTGAGAAGTCCAATGCGATTCTGATTCTTGATCCTTTAACTGTATTCTTTCTTTTCTTTCTTTTTCTTTCTTTCTTTCTTTCTCTCCTTCCTTCCTCCTTCCTTCCTTCCTTCCTTGAAGCTTTTAGAACAGTGTTTGTTCCCAATATTCTGCACCTGCAAAATGAGATGCTTTGGTGTGGCTCTACATTCATCCATTATGCTGGGATTCAGTGAGCCCTTTCAATTTGGAAGCTCAAATCCTTTAGTCCTGGGAAATTTTCTCAAACTATTTACTTGAAGCATTTCTTCCTTTCCATTTGATTTTATTTTCCCTTTTCTCCTCACTGCCATTTCTAGGCAGTCATCTTCCTCTCCCCCACTGAATCTTCTACCACGTGAGTCAAGTGTCATCAGAGTATTCCACTCACGGTTCTGCCTTGGAGTCATCTACCACCCCAGCCAGAACCAACCCCCTCATTCCACAAAAACAATTTAGCTTCTGTCACATTGTCATTCTCTCCAGTACTATTTCCTCATAATCCTTGGTGATTTTATTAACCTCATAGATGATACTTGCCAATCCTGGCCTCTCAGTCTTTGGTCCTCTCTAGAGACTCCAGTGATCTCTCTTCAAGTCTACCTTAACCACCCGCTGCTATGGTCCCACACCAGACCTTACAATTTACCAATCACTTGCAAACCTCTCCAAAATCTCAAAGTCTAGCATTCCCCCAACCCCTTCCTTCCATAAACACACCCACCCTTCCATCTCTAGGTCACTCTGTCTAGCACATAATCCCCCAGGAACTACAGTCTTATCGTTTTCCCTGTCCTCCACTCCTTCAGTTTTCTCTTCCTCCTTAGCCCAGCTTACACTCCATGATCTTTATAATCACTCCCCTATCTGGCTAAAATGCAATCCAGGTTAAGTCAGATACTCTGCTTATTCTCTACTAAGTAAACATGGCTGGAGGGGAAAAAAAACAAAAATCCATTAGCATCACCACACTAATGAGCTCACTTTACATGTTTTTTAAAGATTTTATTTATTTATTTATTTATTTATTTGAGAGAGAGAGAGAGAACACAAGCAGGGGAAAGGGCAGAGGGAGAGGATCTTAAGCAGATTCCTCACTTACACAGGGCACGATCCCACCACCCTGAGATCATGACCTGAGCCAAAATCAAGAGTCCGACACTTAACCTACTGGGCCACCCAGGCACCCCATGATCTCACTTTAGGTTACTGATATCAAATATTATTGCTGCCTGGCAACCATTCTTTTTTTTTTTTTTTAAGATTTTATTTATTTATTTTAGAGAGAGAGCACAAGCTGGGGGCATGGGGCAGAGGGAGGGGGAGAGAGAGAAAATCTTAAGCAGACTCCCCACTCATGGTGGAGCTCCACACAGTGCCTCAATCTCAGGACCCTGAGACCATGACCTGAGCTGAAATCAAGAGTCAGACACTTAACAAGTCTGAGCCATCCAGACGCCCCAACCATTCTTTATCTTCAGGCCTTCTAAAACAACTATTTCATCTCTTCTCTCTTCAAACTATCTGATTTTATTTTTATTTCACTGAGAAAACATAGCCAATTACAAAAGCAAAACCAAAAAAACTTCCACAAGCATATTTATCTGCCCACTTAACAAAACTGATGCCCATATTCTCTGTCTTCCCTCCATTTACCATAGATGAATTTTCTGTGCTCCCAGAACCACACCTCCCCTCATTCACTAGGTTTCATCCCTTCTTGTTGACTCAAAGATGTTGTTCCAATAATTCTCCCTGCTTTTTCCTCCATGCTGTAGTTTCTGCTTTCTACTGGATCTTTCTCGTCAACATACAAATATACTTCTTAAGAAATTCTTCACTTGACCTACATACTCTTCTAGTCACAGCCCCATTTTCCTCCTTCCCTTAACAGCAAAATTTCTCTGAGTCTCCATATTCACAGTCTCCAGTTGCTCTCTACCTAGTCTCTTGTACCCCTATCAGGCATTTACCCCACCACTTTACAGAAACTGTGCTTGTCAAGGTCACCAACAAATTCCATAGTGCTAAGCATAATTAGGCCAATTGGCAGCTCTTATCCTAATTAACCTTTCAGCATCATTTGACACAACCGTTCCTATCTCTTCCTTAAAACCCTATCTTCACTTGCTTACAGGACATTCCTACCACACAGTCCATTCCTTCTGTCTCTTTATTCCATCTCACTTCAGTGACCTGTAAATGTTGACAGATCTGAACAGTTCAGTCTTTTCTTTCCCATCTAGCATCATTCACTTTGTGATCTCTTCTGGTCTCACAGCTTTATCTCCCAAATTTATAGCCCTAGTCTGTATCTCCACCATCAAATGCGGACTCATAGCATCCAACTACCTTGCTGACATCTCTCCAAAGATGTCTACAGGGTATTTCACAAGTATGATGTCCAAAAGTGAATTCCAGAGCTTCCTCTCCAAACTGTCTATTTTCAATCTACCCCACCTCAGTTATCAGCAATTTCACCTTTCAAGTAACTCAAGCTAAAACCCCAGAGCCACCCTGGTTTGTGCTATTTCTCTCTCACTCCACATCTAATATGTCAGCAAATTCAGTTAGTCCTACAACCAAAATACTGGCTGAGTTCAAATTTACTGCCACCTCAACTAACACCCTGATCCAAGCCACCCACCATCATCTCATCTCTCACCTCCCTTATTGCAATAACTTCCTAATTTTCCTTCTTTATTCTACTATTCCTCCTTCCAGCCTATTCCAAACACAGAAGTCAGAATGATCCTGTTAAAATACAAATCAGAGAGTTCTGGTTCCACTGTAGCAAGGTAAACTCTCTCTAGCTCATCCTTCTCGTTGATGACAATTACAAACTATGTACAATAACCCGAGAACCCTGTAAACAAAAACAGGCTAATTGTAGAGCATTATTTTACAAGTATATTAAATCTGTGGCATGCTATGTAGCCATCAAGCTTTATGTTTATTTTTTTTTAAGATTTTATTTATTTATTTGACAGAGAGACAGAGAGAGAACACAAGCAGGAGGAGCAGCAGAGGGAGAGGGAGAAGCAGCCTCTCTGATGAGCAGGGAGCCCAATGTGGAGCTTGATCCCAGGACCCTGGGATCATGACACGAGCCAAAGGCAGATGCTTAACCGCTGAGCCATTCAGATATCCCAAGCTTTATGTTTATAAAAATTGTGATTTCCAGTAAGTGATTTTATTTCATAGAGCATATACCATTTTTAAAATATCTTTAACATTTTTATATTAACATGATCAAGTTAAAACCATTAACAAATTAAAGTCCTGAAATCATAACAATAATTTGTTCATAAGATGTTTATAAACTTCTTTACTACAAAATTACATAATTGTACATATTACAGCTCAAGGTGATGCTGTCAAAATTATATATTTTTTTAAATCAGGAAAAAGTCATAAATAGCAAATGTTAAAATAAAACAGAAAGCCATTCAGTCAATATTATCAAATACTGTAAACTACTATACCAGCTACCATGAGGACCATAAGGAAATAAAAATAGTAATTGACACTTATGGGACACTCCTATACATCAGGAACTATTTTAATTATTTGAATTCATTTGGTCCTCACAATAACACTAAGAAGTAGGCATAGTTATTTTCACCATTTTATTGATTAGGAAACTAAAGTTACATAAGTTGTGCAAGGTCATGGGGGCAGGGCATCTAACTAGGCAATCTGGCTCCAGGGTTTTTGTTCAATCACATTACTAAGCTGTCTGCTTAAAGAAAGAAAACTTAATGGTAAGGATGCTATTTTAAGTCCTTCAACATGCGCAGACAAGTGCAGAGGCACAACAAAGATTAAGAGAAAAGTTAAATACCTGGCGTTCCAATGGCTCTTACATAGGAGAATGCAATATTGGCTTTTCCTTTCAGAGCATTTTCTATGTTCTGAAGGTCTTCCAGAGTGGTAATATATTTTACTTCATTAAAAAGAAGAGCACTGAAATAAACAGAGATGTTATTGGTAGAAGAACCTGATACGTAGTTATTTAATATGTATTTTCAGTAAGTTAAAGAACCTAATCAAAAAGAGAAACTTAACTCTTTTGAATAAATTATCAGTAGTAAGAACCTAAGCACTTTTTTTAAAAGATTTTATTTATTTGAGAGAGAGAGAGAGAGCATGTGTGAGTACAAACAGGCGGAGAGGCAGAGGGAGAGGGAGAAACAGACTCACTGCTGAGCAGGGAGCCCGATGCGGGGCTCAATCCCAGGACCCTGGGATCATGACCTGAACCCAAGGCAGACGCTCAACCGAGCCCACCCAGGCACCCCAGACCCTAAGCATTTTAATACTGAATTAAAATCACTCTCTCAGTCATTTGTCTATACCTGAGAACATCAACCAGGAACAGTTGCGAGAAATGGTGCTCGTTCTCCATCACAACTACCTTAATGTATTTAAGTTGTATTCACTAATATCCTACTTTGGCCCAATAATCCCGTAAACATCTCTCAGCCTTGAACATATTTGAGCCCTTTACACATCTAAACTGAAGGCTCTTTTCCACAGCATACAAGGCTCTGCATGACCTACTTCTCCAACTCCATTTTGTTTTACCATTCCTCATGTCTACCATACCTTAAGCACACCTCAAGGCCTTTGCACACACAGTTTTCTTTGCTGAAAACTATTCTCTCTGCTCCTTCTCATGTATCTGGTCTTAGTTTAAACATCACTGCCTCAGAGAAACCTACCCTGTTGGTCCTGTGTAATTAGGTTTGTAGCATTTTTCTCTTTAATTTCACACTATTTGATCCTTTGTAGCCCTTATCACAATTTATAATTGCTTATATATTTATTTGTTTATGCTTGTGTCTTTTATTAAAACTGTTACCTTCCTGAGTCAGGGCCTTGCATATTTTAATCACTATATCTATAATAACTTAGAATAGAGCCTAGTACACTCTAAGCAATCAATATTTGTTGAATGAATGAAAGAAAAAGCAGGGTAGGAATTATTTATTCCCATTCATTTGAAGAAATGCAAATCCAAAACAGAAGAGCTTACTTATTCAAAAATACATTTATGGAATTGAGGAGCCAGGAACAGAACATAAAACAGGTCTCTTCGTTCCTAATTCAGTAATCTTTCCACTTGACCATAATTCTTCCAGATCATCTTTTCAATGTGTAGATCAGACTAATTAATCATATTTCTTCATCCAAAAGAATTTCCTTTTTAAATTTTCTACTTCTATATAAATTATCTATCCTTAACAGCTCATCCCACTTAATCCTCCACATGCATGTGTGTGTGCGTGTGTGTGTGTGTGTATTTTTTAGGCTAAACTTTAAGGATTTTTAAAAACTGTTCCAAGTCCATATACTTAAATAATCAAACTGTCTCCAATAAATTAGTCAACCATAGTTTCCTCTTAGGGAAAACATGGCACTTTCTGAGAATACAACAGTTCTCAAACTTTTTGGTCTCAGGATCCTTTGTACCTTTAAAAATCACTGAACTCCTCAAAGAGCTTTTGTTTATGTAGGTTACCTCTATTTGTAGTTACCAAAATAGAAATTAAAACAGCAACTTAAAAATATTTGTTAATTCTTCTAAAAATAATAATAAACACCATTGCATATTAACACTCTATTTAAAAATAACTAAATTTTCCAAAACAAAAGAAAAATTTGGTGATAAGAGTGGCATTGTTTTATATTTTTGCAAATCTCTTTACTATTTGGGCTAAATAGAAGACAGCTGGATTCTCATATCTGCGTCTTCACTCAATCTGTTTTGACATCACACAATACATCATATAGCCTCTAGAAACTGAATTCATAAGAGAATGAAAATGAAAAAGACAAATAATGTCTTAGTATTATTATAAAACTATTGTGACTTAATGGATACCCTGAAATAGGTGCCCTAAATTACACTGGCTTACATATTTACCTATACATTATAGATTTCTTCAATTTTTTTTAAAGAAATGTAAAACTTAATCTTCTGTAATTCCCAGGGCTCTTTAAAAGAAATATTACTGAGCAGTACTATTTGCTAGATATTTTCACATGTTTTCATTTAAATCCTCAATGGTATTATATAAAGATTTTTTTGGTAAAAACTGTGCTATTTTATTTTAAACATTTTCGTTTACAAAAAAAAAAATCAATGATTGCTACCTTTTTACATTCTCAGATTCCTTAATATGGACAGACCTTCCTGTTGAGATATCCCCTTACAGTTTCAGTCAAGGAGTGTATCATGACCACCAGGGCTCCCTCCATGTGGTTCAGTTTGTAAGCAACGTAGCATTCCTGGGCAGACATGGGAGCCATCTGATGCATGCTCCATTTCTGCTTTTGCTTCCTGCACTGCGTGACCAAAGCACTGTCTGAGCTGCGTGAGGCTGGCTAGGAAACACTTTCAGGAGACAGAGAGCACCAGGACCATGATGAGGCAGGAGAAGATGAGGGCCATGGTGCCTGTGACCACCTTGTGGATCTGCATGGTGTTATCAGCATGCTTGCTGCTGGGGAGAGCCATAGTAGCCAGCTCCTACGTGCCATCGAGCTGCCCCTCCCTGCTGTCAACAAGTATGGTGGCCAGACTGGCTGGGAGCCCAGGTCACTGTGGTTGTGACAGCCCAGAGCAGATGGCCGCTGTGGACTCAGCCCCATCCTCGAAGAGGTGGAAGGTGCACATAGCATCTAGGATGTCTTTGCCCTGCACGTACTCCCGATTGGCACACTGCGATTTGTCACCATAGCACCCCTGGAAGCTGTGGAGCCATGAGGCCAGGCCGCACACATTGTGTCCACAGTCACATACGTTCCTGGCCAGGACGATGCTCATCAATGACTTCCAAGAGTTGAGGATCCAGGGCTCGATGTAGATAAGGCGGTTGGAGTCCAGCTGCAGAGACCGCAGGTGCAGCAGGGTCTCAAACACATGGGGCTCCATGTATTTGATCTTATTGCCCAACAGGCCCATTTTCTCCAGGTTCCAAACCCAGTCCAGTGAACTAGCCACAATGGCCACCTTGCCCCTCTTCAGGCAGAGGAAGTGTAGGGAGATGAGGCATGGGAGGTGGGCGAAGTTCACCTTGACCAAATCTGTGTGTTCCAGGTGCAGCTCAGTGAGACTGAACAAGTCAGCAAAAGAGTTGCATGCCAGGGTGCCTGGGTGGCTCAGTTGGTTAAGCGACTGCCTTCGGCTCAGGTCATGATCCTGGAGTCCCGGGATCGAGTCCCACATCGGGCTCCCTGCTCGGCAGGGGGTCTGCTTCTCCCTCTGACCCTCTTCCCTCTCATGTTCTCTATCTATCATTCTCTCTCTCTTGAATAAATAAATAAAAATCTTTAAAAAAAAAAAAAAGAGTTGCACGACAGACTCCAGCTGATTGTATCTGATCTAAATATTCTTTATTATACACACATGAAACAACCTGAGGGATTATGTAACCTGTCCAGATCAGAGTGGTAGTCACGGGTAGAGCTGAGATTCAAATCCAGGTCTTCCAACACTGAGGCCAGAACTTTCTAAACTATGTTTAGTACTGACCACTCATAAATGGGAAACCGGGTGAAAAGGGAGGCAACTAATAAATGGCAGGGGAGTCTCGGTGGCAACCTGGGTTGTTTGCTGCTTATACATTTTGGCTAACCTGTCCAGAATTACCCTTGAAATATTTCAGTCCAGAGGGAAAGGACATCTAGTGAACTTAATTGGACTACCACGTAAATTCTAGGCTTGGAAATTACATCTGCCCATTTATCTTTATTGCTCTAGCAGTTCTAATCCATTTGCTTCAAAAATCATATCTGGGAGTACAAATCTCCCTAACCTTGTTTCTTGGTAAAACTGGGAAATATAAATTAACAAAAGCCAACGTTTGGGGGACACCTACCACATGTCAGGCATAGTACAAAGCACTCCACGGTAGTGGCAATTTTATCAGTTTGGGGACTGCCCAGCTCTGAACTCTCTTTTGCTTTGGGAATTTCCAGTTTACCATGTCTTCACAGTGGGCAGAGCCCAAATCCCCCCACGAAAGCTAATAATATCATAAATTTGCTCTTCTAGGCTCCCTGCTGCAAGGCATGGCCATATGACCTAGAATCACTTGCCTGACATTCTGGATCAGGAGCCAGTGATGTAAAGAATAAGGGACAGTACAGAAGGAGTATCCTTATTTCAAGAAGGAGTAGAGCAATAGTCAGCTTTAAAAGCAGGAGTGACAACAGTGTCAATGACAGCCCCAGCACAGGTGAGGCAAGCTGTCGCATCTGACACAGCACTAATGCAGCCGTCACTCCCAGACTAGTTGTGGGTCAGACGCTTTTGACTCTAATTTAGAATCGTATTAACTCTGAGTCCAGTTCTCCAGCCCTTCTAGCGAGCCTGAGATTTCCTATATCCACTCCAAATCCTTTTCTGCTTAAGCCAGTCAGACCCAGATTTTGAGGCTTTTAACTAAAAACACTCAGAAATGCACTCAGTCTTGCTTAATTTTCATAGCAACCATCTGAGATCAGTACTATCATTAACTCCATTTTAGAGATAAGGTCATGGGGCTCTCTTAGACAGGTTACCTCGCCTAATGTCCCAAAGCTCATTAAGTAGTCATTATCCATGAGGTAATAATAACCAAAACTAATGACATTCATAATCTAATGACCTCCGTGATTGTTCCCAGTGGCTTCCTAGCTTTAACACATTTTTAATGTTAATTTCTAGAATATGGGGACATGCAGGGATCTCTAGGATCCATTCACAAGCCTGTGCTCCTTCACTCTAGTCACAAAGAGGAGAACTCCTGACAGAAATGGGTAAAAGGAAAAGCCTGTCTTGGCATTTTCTTGTTTAATGATGGGGTGAAACAGTCTTGAGCTGCTCTGACCTTGGAAGCTCCTCCCGCCCCAGAAAGGCCTTCCTTTTCTTTGGCATGCTTTTCCTGAGACCCTCCTATCACAACCATTATAATATG